GGGAACACTTAGTAACCACAATGTTGCTCATGTGATTGTACATCAATGATACCTTAATAAAAATAAATAAGTTAATCAATCAACCAATTAATTAATTAATTATTGTGGGGAAAATGAAAGTTCCTATGGCCAGGACCCTCACCTAAACTTAAAGTACTTGATGATGTAACTAGCTTACTGCTAGGCTGCTGCTTCCAAATCCGTAGGCAATGAACTGTTAGTGACTGAGTCACTATATAAAGAGCTCTGCCCAGTGCTCTGGGCGGAGGCAGAGACGGAGGTGGATTACAGACCTGCAGACTGCAGGATGCAGATGTGATCCTAGTGCTTGGCCTACCACAGTGACAATAAAGCCGGCTACAAACCCTTTTATCCCAAAAAAGTTTCATTGTCATTTCTCGATCTCAACAGATCCATAATGAACCAGCCCAGGACTGAAACCCTCAGGCAAGAGAAATATAAAGAATGGTACTGAGTAAGAAGTGACTAAATTTTCAAAAGGAAAGTTTGAAGTTATACTAAACAAGAACATTTATACTTAATATGGCCAGAGAAGATCTCACTGAGAAAATAACAGCCAGGCACACTAAGAACCATAAGATAATCTGGAAGAAAACTATTTCAAGCACAAAGTAGGCAAGTATAAAGACTCTAAGGTAGGAGTGGGGCATCCCAGGAGAGTAACTGCAGGAGGCAGGGCAGGCTGGGATATGCAGTGAATGTAGTGGGGCTGGGAAGGAGGTCACAGGAGCCAGATCACACAGACCCACATGTCACAGGGAACACTAGCTTTTGTGTCTTCCACCACCCTCAGGATAAAGCACAAATCATTCGTGTGGCACTCAGAATCTTCCAAGTCTGGCTCACCGGAGCCCTGCTCCCCACCCCCTCGTGTGGAGGCACTGGTCTCTCTTCCCTCAGTCACTCTACACGTGCCCTTTCTTCTCTGTGAGACCCTCCTTCTCCCCACCCAATTCCCTTCTGACTTTTGATCATTTGGGCAAATTTTAGGCATGACTCTGCCAGAAAGCCTTCCTATGCTCCATTCATCTCAGGCTAAACCAGGCGCCTTCCTATGTGATTCCACAGAATATAACACTACCGCCTATCAAAGCCTTTATCATGTACACATTTTTTTTTAGCTTCTCAAAAATATGGAATGGGTCTTTTTGCCTTATATCTCTTGTTCCTAACTGGGTTTGGCTTACAAAATAAGTATCTGTTGAATGAATGAAAGATGGATCTTGACCCAGGCTCAAATCTCTTTATAGATATCTTAATAAAGGCTTGTTTAAGTTATCAGATCTACATAAAAGGAGGTTGTTTTGGAAAAGCTCTTTTGAACCATCCCGTAAAAATCTTCAGATCCTTCATGTAACTGTAAGAATTTAGCCTAAAATTAGTTGGTTCACTAATTAAGAAATGCTAACTAACTTAATCAAGGTTTACCTAGCCTGAAACTCCCAGTAGAAATGAGACAAGGGGGATTAAAATAAGTAAGATACAAAGGTGCTTCTCTTTGCTCGTTGTCAATGGCATTACCCATTAATCTTTCTTCTTCTGTGTTCTCTACTTCATAAAATGAAGTCCCCAAGGAACCGGGAGCAGGTAATCAAAGCCGAGCATGATGTCTCCCTCTTTTCTCACAGTGCCTCCTTTAGAACTTTAGAGAAGAAAGGCCTGGGGGAATCAGAAACCATCAGCAGGTGAGAGAAACAGGCCTTTTAAGTACTTTGATATCAGGCTAACCGAAACCAACGAACCAGGTCAAACCTCAAAAGGGTCTCAGTCTTGACTCAATATTAGAAAATCAAGATGAGTTTGCACAAAGCCTTCTAAGTAAAATGTGCATGTGTTTAGCGTATACATTTATGTAATTGAGAAGGAGAAAAGCAACAACCATTATTTAACTTATTTAATGTTTCTCTAAAGCTTTTCCTTTGACCTCCACTGGTTACGTATCAACTCAGGATGTTGATGTGGATAATATTTTTATGATATAAAAATAAACTTCCTAATCAGTATACCAGTTAAGATTCAACAGTATTTTAGGCCTGATTACTAATTAAATGAAACTGTGCCCAATATGCCCAAATCATAGGAATAAGTTTTTAATCATAAAAAAACCTCATATAAAAACTGAAAATGCAAAACTAAGATAAAACATGGAGTATAAGAGCTTATCAGGGAAGTTACATTGTCTCTCATAATAAAACATGGCCTCAGATGAAGCGCCTTCCCTCCTCAGACCCACTGTGAGCTCTGTCTCTGTTGTATAGTTTAATCTGAAATGCACAGTTCCCACTTACAGACCAATAAAAAGTTCTACCAGTATATTTGTGGCATTATTCTTTTTCTGTCTTGGGCTGCCTAGCATGAGAATTCTCCCAAGTATGAGTCCCAGAGGGAGGCAGGGCCCCATTTCCAATGAAATCAAGAGGACAAGACATCCCCCGCCCCCACCCCACTGTCTGGTATTTTATGCATGTAGGCTAATCTTGGCCTAAGCTACGGTCCTTCTCTGTCAATCTAGGAGACTGACACATAAGCTAGTCTAGTCACCAATCTGCAGGTTCTCTTTAACGCTTCACTGTTGCCCCTTCTCCTGTGGGGTGTGCCATGTTTCTGAGCTTCTTTTCTTCAGTCTTCCCTTTCCGTAAATTCCTCTTATGTTTCAATCAGCTGAAGCTGGATTCGTTGCTACAACTAGGCTGGTAACTATCCTGAGCACAAGCGGCCTCAGTGTTGTCAGCTGTTTGCAATAGCTCAGTATTGGGTGCTCACTGTGTTGTCTCAGTCACCATTCTTGCAACCTCTCAGAAGGCTAAACAGGAACACGGCTGATACAAAAGGATGTAATTTCAGAGTCAGGGAGCACTGACCAACTTTCTAAAAATCAAATAGAAACCCTAAATAGGTTAAAAAAAGCAAAAGAAGAGAATGTGATTCAGAAAGCCTTAACTTAAAAGCAAATGCTTCCAAACCCTAGGACAGACTCTGCTCAACCAGTGGATCTCAACCAGTGGCGACCTTGCCATTCTGGGGAGACACCAAGTAACATTTGGAGACATTTTTGGCCATCACAGCTCAGGGAGGGGCGCTACTGGCATTGGTGGGAAGCGAGCAGGAATGCTGATATTCGTGCTACGGTGGCCGTCGCAGCAAAGAGGCCTCCGGCGTGAATGTCAATACTGTCAACGCTGAAAAGCCCGGCCCTACACTGTCAGCTCCCTTCAAATCATGCATCAATAAACGCCCCACAGAGCTAGAATAACTCTCCCACCATCCACAAGGCCCAAATACTTTGATAATGACTTCCAAGACATCATTTCTACCCTGATGTTAAAAAACAATTTCACAAATCTGTCAGTATCATGATTTACCTTAGAAGTACAGAGATGGGAAAGAACTAAAAAAGAGCAAATAAAGGGAAGGAACAAAGATGTCCAAAGAGCTGTAATGTCCCCACAGGGCCCGCGGGCCTGATGGGACACCCAGGGCGAAAAAAGACTTGTGTTTATGGCCGGGAATGCCGGGAAGAGCAAGCAGCTCAGAGGGATGCTGTGATCCGGGTCCGACGTGTCTTCTACATCACAGGGGTGCGGACTTTACTCTCTGAATAACAGTCATTTTTATAGAAAAGGTTTTAAGCCTGGATTGCAGAATGACTCCGTATAGCGTAATTAGGATAACTAAAGGCTGAAAAGAACCACAGAAGCATTCTGTGAGTGTGTGATCATTTATACCAAAGTTTGAGGTTTCTGGAGATAATGTCAGGATAATTTTGAGAATTTCTGAATGAAGTGGGCACTTAAATGTGAAAAGGATTCACGTGATTCTCAGTTCTGGGCCTTCGTTTTTAAAGTTTTGCCATTCAACATGAATTCTGAAGGTCATAGTTTAGTACTCCTGGTTTGTTTTTTTTTTTAATGCTAATTTTTGTCAGTGTAAGTAAAATCAAATCTCTCCCAGAGTTTTAGTGACATACAGAAGGATATATGTAAGTAGTTGACACTTTAAAGAAATTAATTTTGCTTTCCTCTAATCATTGCCTAATATTTACCTAAATACTTAGTCAATTTTGACTAAGCTAGAAATCTTCTAGAGAAGAAGACATACTCCGTTTAGACAAACTGTAGGTAAAAGCTTATCATTAATTTTTTAAGTCTAAAAATAGAGACTGAGAGATGACAGCCTATATGTTATGCATAGGAGAGGATGTGCCTCACAGAGTTTAAAGGACATTTCCCCAAATGACCACCCAAATCACTTTGGTAACCTTTTAAACTAGTATTTTCAATAGCATTCCATTAAAACTGGTCTTATGACAGGCATTAACTGTTCAGATTGTATTAGACTAGCTAGGTTCTATTTAATACTTAAATCACACGAAACAATCACGAACTATAAAATAAATGTAAAAAATCAGAAAATCACTAGAGGTGCAAATATTATTATTGCTATTACATACAAGCCCAGAAGTGGCCTCTTACCAATGAAAAATACAACCTTTTCTATACTTTGAGCAAGTTATAAAACCTTTTTTTTTGACAATAGAATTGTTCCAATAAATCACTTAATTCCGGTGAATCCCAGTCATAAAAAAAAAAAATGGAAAGGTTTTAAGTAGTTGTTTCTTAGGAAGAAAACTGGTGTCATTTGAGGTGACAATCTAACATGGTCAGCGCCTGGTAATAGGGACATCAGCCGAAAGCGGCTAGACTAAGGTGATAACAGTGTAGATGGAAATGAAAGCCAGGAGAGGACTGCAATGTATTCTTAACCTCTCCCAGTAAAATGAGTATCTTCAGCATTATGACATACAAATTTATGGGGGGAAAACTGAGTTAACAAACCTCTATTTATTCCCAATGTGCATCAAAAGAAAAACGTGGTAACATGTCAATGAATTAAGCGAATTAAAAGTTATTCAATGAGAATGTGTGCCATAATTTCTGTATGATTTCCAAATAACATACATAGAAAGTTTATGATATTACCTGCTCCAGAACTTCTTTATAGGTTATAGTTGCTTTGGTATTTGTAACAGGACTGTCATAGATGATTGCAACCTTATCTCCTTTACCATTTTCAATATGACGATCAATGGCATTGTAACAAATGTTAAGCATTCCTTCCACAAACCTGAAAAACAATTATAAAAGTGAAGAACTCTTTTCAAAATATACTGTTGCTTCACTAGGTTCCTATATTTCTAGTCTGGCAGAGCTACCCTTAAAATGGGGTTTCCCCATGCACGCTATGCCAGGTAATGAGGGCTGTAAACTAGATACTTAAGGGGGCACAGAAATGACATTTTTATGTTAATAAATATGTATTTATTTTTATGTGCACTGGAAAAAATATACTTCACACTTCAAGGTGACATATTTGTAGATTTTATTGCTTAGGCTGAAACTAGAGTACAGAACACCAAAATAATCTATTTGCCTTGGATGAAATGGATTGTATATAAACGCAGCTACCATAGTACTTATCACACTGCATTAATAATTGGTTTGCTTATATGTTTCCTTTATTATACTGTAATCTACCTGAGAGTAGAGACTATAATATTCTTCTTGTAGTCCTAGGATGTGCTACAGCAGTTTTCATGTTTTAGGCACTCAATAAATATTTGACAAATGAAAGAGTGAAAATATTAGTAAACTTTCAAGAAACATTAGATTTAGGATTACTATCTCACTTTAAAGTTGAGAGGTTAGAGACTTAAAGAGAATAATGCCCAGGACATCTGACTAAGAATTGAAGAAAGCCATTCCCACAGGTAACCATTAAACATCTGGCCACACCTCATACTAACATACTCATTTGTTCATCTATAAATATTTGTTCCCTGGTCTCAGGTTCATTGATTCTTCTATGGTCTCCATTCTGCTGTTGAGGCCAATTCAGTGAGTTTTTATTTTGGCTATTGTATTTTTCCATTCTAAAATTTCCATTTGGGAAGAGAGAGGGGTCAATGTCAGCATGGAAAGCACCTGACTTACCTCCTCCCACCTACACACTGAATCTATACCTACACACAGACTGAGAACTGAGGCCTGAGTGAACACCTTCTCCACAGGTTGGGATAGAAAGGTCACATAAAAAAACAGCGAGAGATGCAGAAACATGATAACAGAGGGAACCCCACCCCCAGCGCAACACCCGGCCATGGGCAGGGTCATTGCTGAGGGACCACAACACAGATCCCCTTCCCTGGGGCACAAAAGAAAAGCAGCACTTTAAAGTGTATCTAGACTGTAAGTGAAAAAACCTAGTTTTTAGACCTAAAGCATGGGCCATTTGGCGGTGGAACTGCTAGAACTCTGTCCAGTGTCCGAGGTGCTGGCAAGTGCCATTGTTTGCATTCTTTCCCCGTCCTGGCAGTGCCGAGGGGAGCTGGGTCCAAGTGCACACACCCATTTCAGACTTGGCCGAGGTGGCCTCCCACCCCTGCCTGCACCCAAACAAGCCAGCTGAGATCTAGCAGTCCTGTAGAGCAGTATCAATGGCAGTGCTCACCCAAGCTCATCTCCCTCAAGCCCACCTAACACCCAGCACCCATCCAGAAGATCCCCAGAGCATGCCACCCCACCCCACCAGCCCACTGCTGCTCCACTTACAAAAGTGGCTGCTACTGATATGGGGGTCCCCAGAGAATGTACCCAAGCCTGCTGCTGTAGCACGGACACAGGGCCAGTCACCCTGACCCCTGCAGAGTGCACTTGGGTCACCATTGCACTGCAGGCGTGGAGATAGTACCACTGACATGGGGTTTCCTTGGAGGGTACAATGGCCTGCCACCTCCCCACCAATGCAGACCCACTGGTACACATTCAGAAACCCCTCCAACCAT